AAGCAAGAAATTTATCATGAATGTCAGATTTTATTATTTGTGTCAATCTTCTTGAAAATATAAGAACTAGATCATTATAAAATATATGCCCCTAGAAAAGGAAAGAAGTATTATTTGGCATTGTCATGATTCTAAATTTAGATGGCATTGCTTCTAAGATCTTAAAATCAGAATTTTATGTGTCTGTCATTTTTAGGAATGTTAAGTAAAATGTTAATTGTGTGATAAAGTCAGTGACTAGACAACATTTCTAGAAAAAATGAAATATCCTTAAATTATATTTTAGAAGTTGAGATATTTGATGCAAGAAAGAAAGATTTTATGGGATCAATTATACTATCCTTATGAAATCAATAAATTTTAGTTGCAGTGGATTATATCTCAAATTTGATAGAAGCGGTGGCTCTACTTATGTGTAAATTGCAAAATATTCAAAAAAAATTAAAGAAACTCATATTTTGTAGATTTGAAATGCTTAAAATTATTATAAGTGATGGAGGGGCCACTTTTGTAATAGAATAATTGAGATATTGATAACCAATTTTGAAATTAAAAATAGGATTGTCACTATATATCATCACAGACTGGTCGTTTAGTTGAAGTTTCAAAATAAGGAGATAAGCAAATTTTAGATAAAACAGTAAACCCTAGAAAAAAATATTGGCCTCTTAGATTAGATAATGCACTTTGACCATATAGAACTGCTTATAAAACCAAATAGAATGTCCCCTTATAGGTTGATTTTTTATAGAGTTTATCGCTTTCCAGTAGAATTAGGAATAAAGCTCATTGGGCGGTTAAAAATTTTGACTATAATGTGAAGAATTCGACAGAAAAAAAGGTAACTAAAATAAGATAGAGGAAATCAAGTTGCAAGTTTATGAGAATGTCAAGATTTATAAAGAGAATAAAAAATGGAATGATCCAAAGCATGTTAAAAAATTTGAGCCTGGATAAGATGTTTTATTATTAAATTTTATATTGAAATTATTTCCTAGGAGGAAGACTAAGGCTAAGTGGAGAGCTTATTCAATATAGTAAAAATTTATCTCAATGGAGTTGTAGATATTGAGAATAGAAAGACCGCACGTATGTTCAAAAAAAAAACATGAGAGACCTAGTCTTGTTTTGGAAGGGATTAAGGGAGCATAAGAGACAAATTATTAAGATAGGTCATTCTGAATAAATTTGGTATCATCAGGCCGAGTATGTTAAACTAAAAGCTTTTTAGGAGGCAACCCAAATTTATGTTGTGTTTGTTTAATTTGCTTGACTGTTTGTTTAACTGATTGTATGTTCTGTGACAAGACATTCTCTGCAAAATTTTGGCTAAGTACGTGATTTTGATGCAGCGCCAAGGCGTATGTTCTGATCATGAGTGATGGTATACTTGCTAAGAGCACCTTGGCGACGATTGACATAAGGTTGCAACGCCGAACTCAATAGAACCTAAGTGTTAAAGAGTCGATGCCTCGTAAAGCAATTCCATTGATGGTGACTAAATGTTTAAGGTATGAATAGTTGGTGGTAATAAGTCTAGTTGGCCAAATCTAGACCCAACGCCGCAGCACCATCCCTTGGTGTTGCACTGCTAATGAAACAAAAGCTTAGCACCATAGTGCCATCCATGCAGTGTCGCGGCACCATATTGTTTATAAATAGGGCCCAATTCCTTTTCGATTTTTTAACCATTACTTTAAGTCTATCGAGCGTTAGAAACCCTTTTCCTTGTCTTTTTTTCCTCCTGAAGATATGGCGTCAAGCCCAAGATCGAAAGGAAAGAAGCAGAAAGTTGAGTTGTACGATACTCACCGTTTCGTGAGTGTTGAAGCCCATGAGAGAGATGAATTTGATCTCCTTTACGAAAAGCTTATCCCGATGAGGGGATTTTAAAATCAAGGTAGAGGTGTTGGGCACACTAACACAGATAGAGGGTAAGTTGATTTTATGGCAGAGCCTAATGCCATCATTGTCCATATGGTCTAAGAATTTATTGCAATTGCTAAGAGACACATGGACTATAAGGTGCTTGTTAGAGACAAATGAGTTGCATTTGGTCGTATGATCAATGATGAATACGCACTTTTGCATGGTCTGCATGGCACAGGTCATATTTATTGATATATTAGAATAACTTCACAAAAATCATTGACTTCATGACTCCTTTAGCCTTTAAGACGACTTCAAAAGAGGTGTTAACTATAACCCTCTATATTTTATTACAAAATGAGTCTAAGAATAGAATCATAGAGCAATTCTAACACTCATCAGAAATAATTAGTAAATGATTTTCAGTTGGTTTGAATGCTCTGATACTTACCTTCAAAAATATCAGACCTGAAGATCGTACATTCCAAAGCACCATTATAGAGACTTCACAAGATTAACGCTACATGTCATATTTTAAGAAAGATTTGCGTTAATCTTAAAATTTACTTAAGCTCAATGACTCTAATACCTTACATAAATAACTTAAGACAATATTAGAACCGTTGACAGAACGCATGTGGATACACGTGTGTCCAACAGTGAAAAGACTGCATATATAGGACGTTGTGGTTCACCAACACAAATTATTATAAATGTATGTGATTTTAATATGTATTTCATTTTTGTAATTGTTGGATGGGAAGATAACACAAGCGATAGTCGCATATTCAAATTTGTTACACAAACTCATAAATACAACTTTTCAAAACTGCCTCCAAGTTTGTCTGAAAATGAATAAATGAAATAATTATTTCAGTATGATATTAATAATTATACTTATAACAGATAAATATTATTTGGTTAATGTTAAATGTCTGTTACAAAGAGGATATTTCAAATCCTTTCTTGATACAAAATATCACATTCCTGATTTTGAAAGAGAACAACGTAATTCGAGACAAAAAGAATATATTTAACAAGAGATATTTATCTTTACGTGGCGTTATTGAGAGGACATTTAGGATTTGGAAAAAAAAGATTATTCTACGAGATGCCCACATATCCATTCAACAAACAAGTGAAGATAGTGGATGCTACAATGGCTCTCCACAACTACATTTGTCGACATCATTCACGTATGATATTGAGTTCAATAATGCAGATGAAGATCAATCACATGTCCTTACTGTGACATATGAATATCGTCTAGGGTAGTCAATATCACAAGTTGAATGTGATTTACCGAAGAGGTACACAGGATGGGGAAGGTGTTGGAAAAATGATAAAGTTAAGAGAGCAAATTACAAATATAATAATTAATGAACGAAATGATGCATGCTATTTTTCTTTATTTATGTATAACGTGTTGTGAAAATACTTAATGTTTATTATAATGACGCTTTATGCAATGATTTTCATGTGGAATCTCAATTCGGGGCAAATTATTTTCATTCTTTCTATATGTATTTTTCCCCAACACTAATAGTCTCCTAAGCAACCATGGATTTAATATAAATTTTTTTCTTACATGTTTTTTTAGGTATATGATGAGATATATGACCTTAGGGATTTTTATAAAGGTTTATATGTTGCTATGAATTTTGAAATATATGAAATCGTCATCAAGCTTATCAAGATCCCCTTATTATTCAGTCATATGATCGTTGGGGTTCTTGATGACATTTGGTGGTGATATGCTTTTGTGACACAAATAAGCTTAGAATTACATGATTTAAAGGCAATCAAGATCCACTTTCTTCAAGGTCTTCTGTCTTCTTGCAGCGACAAAATATTCATCAGTTTAGTTTTTGCTCTAAGACATCATATTTTTATAAATCTTTAATTATATATGTCCATTATTCTTATTAGTTAATATTCATCTAATTGCTTCTGGTTTGAGGTTTTAAACCTTCAAAAAATATAAGTTCAAGTACTTTTGGTGCCTCTAGAGTCTTGTACTGCATATGTTAATTGCAATGTTCTCTATATACCTCACGAAAGGAGCATACTATGCGAAAAAATTTTACAGGTGTTCAAGGAATAGATCAGCAGAGGATTGTGTTTTCTTCATGTGGGCGGATCAATTAAACGATTACACCTCAGATAGCGATCAGACGTGAAAGGTTTTTTTTAGAAGAGATTATCTCGTAAAATTGATCGTCTGCATTTCAAATTCAATATTATGATCAAACGTGTCAATTATTGTTTTAATAGTTTTACTTTTTTTATTTTGATTGTTGTGTTCTCACAGTCAAGTGAGATATCAGTTCTAGGTGTAATATTTGAACTTATGTGTTTTGAGAATTCTGAATATAAATTATATTTTCATGTATGAGTAATTCAACCTGGATTGGTTCTGTTATAAACAACATGGGAATACATGGGCAAAAAGTCTTTTTACCATAAGCAATTGTTGCACAACTATACAATAGAGACGCACAGCTTCTAAGCAGCAGCTGCCTAGGACAAGTGCTGTGCAACAGCTATTTCAAAACTGCAACTGCCCCAAACATACCCTAAAATAGCCCCTTGTAATAATAGAGGTACCATTTTGGCACTTTTTTCCCCAAAATAAAAAACTTAAAGTAATAATATAAATGAATCAAAAATTTTATGGCAATGTGTGCATGTTCATACGTAGAATGATGCATTGATCTTATACATAAATGAATACATTTCTAACAATATATAACGGTTTGCATCGCACAAAGGATTCATTTTGTTGCCAAAGATGCATGCTTTACAAAGAGAATTTTATTTTCGCTCAGTTTAAATATGAAAAAAAAAAAACTCAACTTTACGAGATTTATAAGATGTTTGCAAAGTTATAAAATTCAGTTTAATTTCTAGCTTATCCAACTGAATTATGAAATATAATAAACTCATTGTATCACAGAACATGTTTTCTATCCTTATGCAATCAAATAAGACCTAAAAATTTGAATATTGTGCAAATAATTATGTAAGAAAAAACAAATCCCTTATGGATGAAGATAATAATGAAAATCAAAATCATCAATCTTATTCCAAACAAATCAAATAATTGTGCCTGCACATAATTTTAATTTTACCTGAACAAGCAACTGCCGATAAAAAATCCATGGTAGTCAATATATGAAATGCTCCAGTCAGTAATGAACAATGCTTGATAATAACCACATAAAACTGGAAATTTCAGGACTTTAGTCCAAACACAGATTTAAAATTTCAAAATAAAGATGAAGATCAATTACTTAATTTGCATTTTGTAACCAAAAAGCCCGGAACACATTAGACGGAAATAGATTGCAAAAATGTGAACATTTTCCAATTCATAGGCAGAGTTTGAAGCTAAAGATCAATATTTGTATGTTAAAATAGTTGCTTAGACAAATGCATCAACATAAACTATTAATCGAGAGAGTAATTAAAAAAGAACTTATATAAATTTCATTACTAGGGACTAGAAAAAACAAAACTCAAATTGTTGTTGAATGCATGCTAAATCTCGATCTAAAAACAGTAAATCATATTGATCAAATCATGTTAGAACAACAACAACAAAGCCTCAAATTGTTTTATTAAATACAACTTTTTTTCTTTTAAAAAACATCGACCATCTGATGATCCAGTTAGGAGAATAGATGTTTTAGATTTGACTTATACTAAGAAAGATGGAAGTAGACCTAGAAAGACCCGGGCATGTTGTGTGAGAACTGATCTAAATTTATTAGAATTAAATGAAAATATGGCACTCAAAGACACAATGCAAGAAAATGATTCATGTAGCCGACCCCACTTAGTGGGAGTAGACCTAGAAAGACCCGGGCATGTTGTGTGAGAACTGATCTAAATTTATTAGAATTAAATGAAAATATGGCACTCAAAGACACAATGCAAGAAAATGATTCATGTAGCCGACCCCACTTAGTGGGGCAAAGGATTGTTATCGTTATTGTTATTGTTATTGTTTCTGTCTTTTGGAGAAGTTTACAACACGCCACACAATTCTTATGTATTTAAATATCTAACGCCTAAAATTTGATATTTACACTTATAACACCATATTGTCATAAACATATGCATGAAAACTTTTATTAAAAGGTAGTGATGGTGATATTTTTTATGTGATGTTAAAGATATGGATGGAATGCATGTAAACATGAATGTTTACGTGTTAGATATGTAAATACATAAACATGAGAATGATGTGGTATGTATGTAGATACCCTTTTTTGTGTTTCTTTTATTTAAAACTAAGCTTAGTTCATAAAAACAACTATTACAGCATCCAAACCAGAAAAGACGCATAAATAAAACAAGATTCACAAGGGCAATGATGACAATGAATTCTCATCATCATGTAGACAAAGATAAGCATATAATTAAGAACTTACCTCTTCAGCTTCATCATGAAGACTGTAACCCTAAGTACATACTCGAGAACGATGATTCCGCATGATTAGTTTTGCAGCTTCACACCAGCATAGGAAAACACAGAAAGACAATCTCAGTAAAGCCTGCCGCGACATTCAGGGGAGCCACAATGGCAAGCCTTCTGCTTTACATTTCCTTCAGAATCACGAACTTCATCTATCGCATAGTTGTAGTGATAAGTTAGCTCCTGCAGTGGCGGAATATTATCCATAGCAAAGAACATTATGTGAGGAATCCTCTTGTCATCATGGTCATATAAAACATTCTGAGCATACAGATTAGGAGAGCAGCTATGGTTAATAAATCTCCCAATGTTCCCATAGTCTGCTGCATCAATAGTAAAGCCAACATTTTCCACAGTATCACAAGCAGAACGTGATTGCAGTTCGGGAATAAGATTCGGAAGATCTTCCCACAAAGATCGATCATCATAATTATGGCCAATGTCAAAAAGATATTCATCATTTGTTCTCTGTTCAGCCTCACTGTCTCGCAGCAACTCTCCTAGATATGCACAGATAAAGCTGCCAGACGAAATAGATTTCAGGGATCGAACACCCCAACCTCGACCTCTGGTCTTAAAGACCTCCAATGGCATTCGAATACCATGCTGGACGACACGGTTATGGCACGAGGGAGGGCACTTGCACGAAGGACCACACTCATAAATGAGTGGCTTTGCTTGAACGATAGCCCCACTGAAGTTGTATGGTATTTCCCCACCATTTTTGACAGCGCATGCGCAATTCACAGAATCCAAGCAGCCATGGATGCAACCACAACCTCTTGGAGGTGTTCTAACAAAACCCAAAGGGTAAATGTTCTTTGTGATATACTTGAAAGGATTTGGCAGGTCGGTGTCAATTGTATTAACCACCGAGATGGGAAGCTTCTCCTTTCCCTGGGTTATGTCTTTAACACAGAGACCTTCACGGATTCTTAACTTCGTCGACCTTTTGATTTCTTTGAAGGCGAGTTCTGGTTGTCCGGGCTTCCTTTTCAACTGGAACTTGAAGACATTAAAGCCATGAGAGCCTCTCTCCCTCCAGTATGATTCAACATGATACAATCCAGCATAGGTGAAGGTTGAGACTAGTTTTCCCTTCGCATCAAAGGGATCTCCTTTCTCTTTAAAACCGAGAATCACCCTTACCGGTGTTTGAGCTTCGATGCTGTTCTTTAATGCAAGGTTGCCACGCTCTAGCTTTTGATCTTCTGGTTGCTTGTCTCCGGCAGATGTTCCGCCTGAACCGGAATATATTAAGACATCGGAACCATCCACATCATCGTCATATCCTCCGGAAGCGACGATGCTGACGGCCACAAGCATCTTATTCTGCTTCATACTATCTATGCCGCCCTGAAATAGACGGTGAAGGCCAATCAAGGAGAGCTCCACCCTGTAATGGAATTCATCACCAACTTCGACTCCATGGACATGACCCAAAACAGGTTCACCGTTGCTCACCCATTCACCGTTATCTTTGAGCAGTTTAAAAGCCTGCAGATCAATCCTATTGATTTTACCCAACTTTTTTGAACGAGACTCCTCTACTTGCAGAAGTTTGCGGCATATAAGCTGAAAAATTCTCAAAACTCGCTTAACTCGGTGTCGCGCCAATTCTTGTTCCTTATCAACACTTTTCTGACTGAATTTGAATGGAACAGATGGGGTCATGGTGAGAATAGATTTAATAGGTTTTCTAAATGTGTTGAGTTTTTTCCTGCCCTGTCCTGCATCAATATCCTCAATAAAGCCTTTGCTCTTCTGTTGCAGAGAAGGCAAAACCTTTGAAGCAGAGTTCCTTCCTACCAAATCCTTCTCCTTTACTTTCGGTTTTGGAAAAACGGAACCAGAAGAGCCAACTGCCGCAAATTTCCTTGAATTCCTTGAGGAACAATGTTCAGCATCCAAGAGAGCCTGAATAACCATTCTCTCCCCATACGCTTCCAGAGAATCATCACCTTCAACTGAAATGTGTTCTTTATAGTCATTCTCTGCCAAAAACTTTCTCTTTAAACAATCATTAACTCTTTGGGCAATCTCACTCGCTTTAACCAAATCTTTTCCAACCAATGACTTGCCATCTCCATCCAATAATTTGCTTCCAATTTTAGCTTTCAAAGCTCCATGTGAAGAACTACCGACATTTTCTTTGATTTGAATGTTCTTGTAGGCTTGATCGCCTCTGCAACCTCCTAGCGTCTTATCAGACAAAGAGCGATCAAAGATCGAGTTCGATCCCAATTTCAATGAGGATTTTATGTGAACATGACCGATATTGCCTTGAGTTCCGCTGCCATAGAAATTCTTGTTAGTGTTTGATCTGACCAAAATACTTTTACCAGACACTTTTACTTCCTCTTTTGTTGTATCAAAATCGTTTCTGTCCTCAGCCCTCACAGAGCTATACTCCATTGTTAAGAGCTTCGCCATAGACTTCTCATGATACGAGTGTTTTTCCGAATGTGCTATTCTTGCAGGTTTATCGATCACTACTGACTGCTTCACCAAAACCATATTCTTCATGGGATGCATCTTATTTTCAGATTGAACCGATGCAGAACACCCTGGCAATTCTTGCTGTTTTAAATCAGCGTGCTTCTTCTCCCCTTCGAAAATTTTGCGTTTAATAGAAGAAACCTGGGGCCTGAATCCAGTCTCAGAATGAATTCCTTTATCAGTTTCGAGAATTACCTTAATATCATCATTCTTTTTCGCTTGTTCTTCAACTATTTCAGTATCCGCAACCCTAATAGTACTGTCACCCGCTAAATGCTTGCTTACTTCATCTACATTCTTCCCCGCCAATTTTTTACTGATACTGTCAGAATTTGGCCCGCATCCAGGAGGAAATTGTCGGAATGGAAATACTTTCCTCCTCTTTGGGGCTCCATAAAGCTTCGAATAACAGTGCCCATTCCCAAACTCGGATAACTCTGAGCACCCCGTCACTGATTGCCGCACTTCAAGTTTCCCATTCTCCGAATTGGCGACTAATTTACTTTCAGAGTCGGTGACCTCACCATTCTCAAACACCACCGGAGAAGATCTTTCTCCCACAGGTGTACTACAAGATTTCACTTCTTTAGGACCGCATCCCCGGGGGAAATGGCGGACGGCGAAGACCTTCCGCTGCTTGTACCTTGGCGGAGCTTCCGATGAAACGGAAACCATCGGGGAGATTCAATCTCCCATGACAAATGCAAGCCAAAACCCTACAATTGACATGGCACGTGGGGCAGAAAAAGCAACTAACCGTATGCGGGGCATAGCTTAGAGTGACAATACTGGCCGAAGCTTCGGCGGCGGAGAAAGTAGCTAGTTTCCGGCAAAGGAGCGACGATGAAACTCCATTAATGACTAAAGAAGATCGAACGAGAGGTTTTTTTATAGGGTTTGCGTTGGCTCTGCTCAGTAAAAACTCTCACACATCACCCACTCATGGGGAGCTTCATCTTATAGTTCCATTTAATAGGAGGTATTGGCGGGGATCAGAAAATGATTAGTGTAAGCTATTTACTTGTGCACCATAATTTTTTTATGATATAATTTTTTTATGATTTTCATAATCTACCTCTAAACTTACTTTTTTTTTTTTTTTTGCATTTATCGATTTACAAATAATGAAAGCACGAATTGTGTAATTCTGAAGAAATAAAATCCTCTATAATTTCGTGGACTCAGGTAATTTGTAGAACCACGTAAATCTGTGTATATTTATCTTGTGGCATTTTTTTTTTCGTTCTAATTTTTTTGTTTATTGTCTTTGTTTTTCACAACAATTGATATCAGTGTCAATATTTGGATCTGAGAAAAAATGATGGCTGGAGACGAAGTGAATGTATCAGAGATTGAGAAATTTGATGGCACGAATTTTGGTTACTGGATGATGCAGATAGAGGTCTATCTTTATGAGAAAAAATTTTATCTTCTGTTAGTGAGAAAGAAACAATAAAAGATAGATGAGAATAAATGAAACTTGTTGAATCAATAAGTTTTTGGGGTTATTCAATTAACTCTGTCGAGATATGTTGCACACAACGTCATCAAGAAAAAAACAGCTGCATATCTTATGACAGTTTTGTCAAATATGTATGAAAGTCATCAACGAATAATAAGTTGCATCTAATGAAAAAGTTATTCAACTTAACAATGACAGATGATACTTCTATTGCACAACATCTGAATGATTTTAATATTATGACAAATTAATTATTGTCTGCTGAAATTGAATTTAATGATGAGATACGTGCACTGATCTTGTTGGCTTCATTATCAAATAGCTGGAAAGACATGGGGATGGTTGTTAGCAATTTTGCAGGTAAATCTAAGTTGAAATATGATGATATTCGTGATTTGATTTTGTCTAAGCAGGTGCGCAGGAAAGATTCTGATGAGATCTCAGGTTCGGGTTCAGCATTAAAGGTTCATTCTAGAGGGAGATCACTGGACAAAACTCAAACAGAGGAGATAAAATCAAAGCACGAAGGCAAGAGTAAGTCAAAGTCTAGTCAGCAAGCAACCTGTTTGAATTGTGGGAAAGCTAAACACAAAAAGAAGAACTAAAAAAATCTTAAGAAACAGAGAACGTCAGTACTTATATTGTAACTAAGGAAGTGTGTAATGCAGTATTACTGACAGTTCACAATTCTGTTGATGATTGTATAATAGATTCAGGGGCTTATTTTCATACATCTTCCTACGAGAAGTTAAATCAAAATTATGTTACAGTGACTTTGAGAATGTATATATGGTTGATGCAGAACCTTTAAACGTGATGGGGATAGGAGACGTTGACATTGCACTCCCTGACAATAGCAGATATACTTTGCAAAAGGTCGGACACATTCCTGAGTTGAAGAATAACCTCATTTTTGTTGGGCGGTTTGAGAAGGACGGTCATTTAGTAATGTTCTCGGATAGCTTCTGGAATGTTACAAAATGGACACTTGTACTGGCTCGGGCCAAAAAAACTACTACATTGAATATGACAGCTAGTTTAATTAACTGTGTTGATACTACCGCTGCATAGAGCGCAACTGATTTGTGGCGTTGCAGACTCGGCCACATGAGTCATAGGGATCTAAAAGAACTTCAATCAAGAGGCAAGCTACGAGAACTTAAGTCAGTTGATCTCAGCATGTGTGAGAGTCAACTCACGGGAAAATAGAAGAAAGTCAATTTCTTGAAAAGCGACAAAGCACCAAAGGCAGAAAAACTATAACTTGTACACATAAATGTGTGAGGATCTCCTCCAGTGCTATCTCTTGGAGGCTCTCATTACTATGTCGCATTCATTGATGATCAAAGCAAGAAGGTATGGGTTTTTTTATTTTAGCATAAATTTGATGTATTTATTGTGTTTAAAACTTGGAAGGTCATGGTTGAGACAGGCTTAAAACTAAAATATTTGATTTCTGACAATGATGGTGAGTACATTGATGGTGGGTTCAAAGAGTATTGTGCAGCTCATGGAATCATGATGGAGAAGACCATTCTGGGGACACCACAATAAAATGGAGTTGCAAAACATATGAATAGGACCATTAATGATCGAGTTAGAAGCATGGGATTGCATGACAAACTACCATAAACTTTTCAGGTGGATGTAGTCACCACTACAGTTTACCTAATCAATAGGGGGTCATCCGTTTCCTTAAACTATAAATTGCCTGAGAAGGTCTGAAGTGGGAAAGATTTCAAAATTTTTCACCTTAAGATTTTTTGTTGTCTTTCTTATGTTCTTATTAATCCTGAGGTTTGTGGAAAGTTTGAGACTAAGTCAGAGAAATGTTATTTTATTGGCTATGGTGACGAGCCATATGGTTATAGTTTATGGGATGATCCAGATTTGAAGATTATAAGAAGCAGGAATTTTTAATGAGAATAGCATATATAAGGACAAGTCCAATACAATTTCTGTAGTGGCTCCTTAGAAATCTGAGATGGTAAGGTTTGATAGTTTACCATAGGTCACAGTGCTAGTCACTAATGGAGGTGACGAGGAGAGTGGGTCTGGGGCACTTATTCATATTGTTCCACAGTCAGTTTTAAAGTCGTCCACCCCTACAGCTACAGTTTACAAGTCAATCAGGAATAAACGTTCTCCACAACGTTTCTCACCAACCTTAAACTACATTTTGTTGACATATGGGGGAGATCCATATAGTTATGAAAAAATCTTGCAAGATAAAAACTCGAGCAAGTGGGAGCTGACCATGAAAGAGGAGATGGATTCTTTGTCAGGGAATCAGACTTAAGACTTGACAAAACTTCCACTACAGAAGAAGGCCTTACAAAATAAGTGGGTGTACTCGGTGAAAACTGAGTATGATGACAGTAAGAGGGACAAGGCTAGATTTGTTGTAAAAGGCTTTCAGCAGAAGTAAAACAATGATTACTTTGAGATTTTTTCTCTTATGGTGAACCTCACAACCATCAGAATGTTATTATTTATGGTTGTTACCGAAGATTTATTTTTTTAGTAGTTAGATGTGAAGACAGACTTTCTTTATAGAGATCTTGAAGAAGACATCTGCATGCACCAGGCCAACGAGTTCGTGGTGCAGGAAAAGGAAGATTGAGTTTGCAGACTGAACAAGACTTGTATGGCCTAAAGCAAGCTCTTTGACAACAAAAAATTTGATTATTTTATGCAAAATGCAGAGTACACCAGATGTCATGCAGATCATTATTTTTATGTTAGACATTTTTACGATTCTTATATTATTCTATTGTTGTATGTGAATGCCATGTTTGTTGCAGGGGCTAGTGTTTATGAGATCAATAATCTGAATAAGCAGATGTTAGAGCACTTTACAATGAAGGATTTGGGAGCTACAAAGAAAATCCTTTGCACGAGAATTGTCATAGATAGAGTCAGAGACATGTTGACTTTCACAGACAGAGTATGTGAAAAAGGTACTCAGCAGGTTTAATATGAATAAGGTCACACCAGTTGGCACACCATTGGGCAGTCATTTCAAACTCAGTAAGAATCAGTCACCCAAGTAAGAGGAGAAATGAAACCACATGAGTATGGTTACTTAAGCCTCTGTTATTGGTTCACTTATGTATGATATGGTTTGCATAACAATGAATATTGCTAATGCAGTGGGAGTTGTGAGCAGATACATGAGTAACCCAGAAAAAGAACATTGGGAAGTTGTAAAGTGAATTTTGAGATGCCTAAAAGGCTCTTCAGACACCTATCGATGTTTCTCATAAAATAGTTTAGAGGTACTGGTCTACGTTGATGTTATCTAGCTGGAGAGATTGACAGCATAATGAGTACTATGGAGTATGTTTATACTCTTGGTGACACTGCGGTATCATAGGGATCTAACCTATAGAAAATAGTTTCTTTGTCTACTATTGAGGCTGAGTATATTGAAAGTCAGAGACTGCAGAGAAGATGATATGGCTACAAAGTTTCTTAGAAGAATTGGGTAAGGAGGTTCAAAGTGGTACTCTCTACAGTAATACTCAGAGCGTCATATTCCTTGTCAGGAACCCAGTATTTCAATTCAAGACCAAGCACATGCAGGTCAGGGACCACTTCATACAATCATTGTTAGATAACAGACAATTGACACTTGAGAAAATTTGTGTATACTAATATGTTGATTGAGGATGTTACACTTAATAAGCTGAAGTTGCTCAACTTCGCTGGCCTTCTAGCTTAAACACAAATACTTTGAGCTGCAAAGGTGAAGAATATCATGATTGAGGAAAAGGTTAGTACTATCAACGGAAGATGCAGTCACTGGACGATACAACTAGTGTCATGATCTCCAAGTGAGAGAATTATTGTGTTTTGTGGATTCCGATCCACAACATCTAAATTGGGCAGATTTTATATCTATGGAATGTATCTTAATGTATTTGATTTTCTATATTTTGCTTCCTTATGTGTTTTCTCCCGCTCCCACCTCCTGTTTTTAGTGTATTGGTTTCAGGATCCCAGCTTCCAGCAGTTCCACAGAAGAAGAAAAAGGCACGAAATGCTTCGGCGGTTCCCTTTTTTTGGCTTCGATGTTTTGTCAACGGGAAGAGGAAGGAATCGCAAGCTTCTGCTCTCCTGCTCCTCAGTCGCTCGGTAATCGCGAACATAGGCTACGGTCTGCTTGGTCGGAGGAGGGAAAAACAACTTCAATTGCGATTGCATTGAATCCCATGCATCTGCCCCTTTGTGCGTTCTTAGGCGTTGTGGCTTCGGATGGATAGAAAAAGAGAACTTGAGGAGAGAGAGAGAGAGAGTCTGAGGAAGATAGAGATCTTTCTTCTAACCGTCGAGGCAATCGATATCATGTAATCCTTAAGAAATAAAATCATTTGCTCCTTAAGAAATAAAATCGTTTGCAACTTCATGAACATAGATAATTTATTGAACCACGTTAATCTCTGTGCTTGCTTATCTTATTGCAATTTTTTTTTTCGTTCTAGTTTTTCGCTTTATTGCTGCTGT